ATGGTTGCATGTACATCCAGCAGGATATCCTTGAACAAGTCCCAGTTCTTAAAAGGCTGAATTTTAAATTTCTGATCTTAGTCAATTATGCTATCAGAAGGCTTGACCTTCGAAAAACTAGCCTTTTTAATGTTTTAACTGTACATGGTACTGGCTGGTGCCTGGTTCCAAAATGTACATATAATCAGGTCATGATCACTAGAAACTGCTCACTTCTAGGTTAGTGATCAATTCTTCTTTGTCTGACAGATCATGGTCCAATACTGAGTTCCCTCATAGCGAGTGGCAAAAATAATTGCCAGATTAGTAGAAGATTTGTGACGGCTCAATTCTACTACTAGTCAAGTAAGACTATCTAGCAGATGAACTGTATTTAGAACAAGCCAATGGTTTCCATCCTGGGGGATGCAGTATAAGGGGATTGGAGGCATGCTGGTTCCAGCTCCTTGAGAGCACCGGAATGCCACCCCATCTGCATTGGTGGTAGTAAAAGAGGGGAAGCAATACCGGAGATTTCTTTGTTCCCAGAAATGCCCTGTTCCTCAGGCAATCAATGACTGGTTCCTATGAAACCAGACAATGCCATATGCCAGTCCCTACAGCACTGCACTAGCCTGAAAGGAAGCAAGAGTTCAGTACCATCTTTAAGCCCTCTAGCTGTCTTCTGTTCTTTTTTCTCTGAGTAGCTGCCCATCGAAAGAACCTGTTGTGCGTTCCAGTATACACACACAAACAGCCCAGAGGCACCAATTAATTCTTTCCCAGCAACATTATTCCGCTGGGGAAGGAAAGCCACTGGAAAGGAAGATAGGCACAAAGAAAGGGGTGAGAAAACTGCAGGAAGAAACAGATCTATCAAGAATTTGGAGGTGAGCACATTATTAGAAGCTTGACAAGAAGACAAAAGTGGGAGAAAGGCAATAGCAAAAAGAAGGAATGGAAATCTAAAAAGAAAAGAAAAAAGATTCTATACAGCTCTAAGCTTACACCTCAGCAGCTGTAACAGGAGAAGCTGCTTTTCAGAAATGTTTTGCTTTTAATCCTTTCTTGGCAAATCATTCACGAGTATGAACAAAGCTTAAAAAGCAAGGTGGTGACGGACTAGATACAGAGCATCTAAACTGTGCAGAAAAGCTCTTCTCCTCCCTCTCCCACCACTGAAAGAGAAACCCTCAATGCAAGGGCCAAGAGCGATTAATATGATTCTGTTCCAAAGACATCGCAAATCATGTGTGCCAACTTCTAAAATACAAGGAAGGAAACAGATTTGTTAAGTATGAAATCTAACTGCAGAAGAAATGTAATTTAATATGGAGAAAACATAACTGATTTCCATAAAATTACTTTCTATTATACATTTAAAATGTTTTCCACTTCTTCATAAACGATCATGTCATTGCCCTGTTCAAGAGAATTTTTGTTAAAGCTATGCTTCTGCTGAATAGTCAAAAAGAACCAAGTTATCCACTTGACTTTGTTTTTTGAAATGATTGTGCAACATGCCAAAATGCTTGACAATCAACTTAAACTTTGCCTGCTCGTGATACTAGATCAGGGGCGGGCAATTATTTCGGGTGGAGGGCCGCTTAC